CCTGCAGCGTGCCCGCCATGAGCCAGCCGGTGGGAAAGGGCAGCAGCGCCCTGGAGGTGAAGTTCGTGCCCGACGAGGATGTCCTGAAGCACATTGCTGACAGCGCAGGTATAGCCGGCTCAGCGCCGCCCGCTGCTCCCAGGGCGCTGGGAGAAGGGTCCGAGCAGCCGCGGCGCTCCCCGGAAAGGGAGCCCTTTTCCAATACGTGGGGCGGCTGAGCGCCTTGGCCGGGCTGCAGTCGGGACGAGGCCTTCATCATCATTTTCCTCCGACTGCCTCTTCCGCGGTTTATCTCTGTCCCCGCCCATGGAAAGGGGCTGCTGTGGCACCGTGGCAAGTGCCCTCAGCTGAAAGTGGTGTGGGTGCGGGCTGTCGGCACTAGCTTCCCGAACTGCAACTGTGTGTAGCGGCCTGGGAGAGGGGGCATAAATAGCCTAGCTAACTCTCCAGCCTCTGATGTGATTAAGCACACACAGAATCAAATCAGAACGAAGTTCGAGGTGGTTGCTACAGGAGTCTTTTGCTGCTGTTGTGACTACTTTGAAGGTTTGGAACCTCTGTAGTGTTGCTTAAAACTTGCCTGTACAAGGCACAGAGCACCCTGATCTGACTTAGCTATTGGTCCTGCTTTGAGAAGAAAGTCAGATAGTCTCCAGAAGTCTCTCAGCCTAAATTCTCCCATGAGTGTACTGGCAGCCTGTAGGCCAGGTCCTTTCCTCTTGCTCCCCTTTGCTAGTGAAGATAGGGGATGGCCAAATACCATCCCCTTTGCATGCAATTTGATACTTCAGTGTGCGAGTCACTGTCTCATTTCTCCCAAACTGTGGAAGTTAGTGTCTGCTGAAATGGGGATCTGGTCTTCATAGACTGCATGGACCAGCTTTTGTGGTAAAGGAGTAATGGCAAGGTCTGACAGGGTCAGCTGACCACCAGGGCACAAACCAGCTATTTTAGCAGGACATCTTTTCAGCATTGTATTTGTTTAGTACTTTGCACAACAGGAACCTGGTTTCTAAATGGAGTAGCTACATACTACTGCAATAGAAAGAATGAAATAGCAAGAGGTTAAAGCTTTTCTTGCAATCCTAGGTAATAAAGTACGGGAGGACAAGGCTCTGCTGACAGTTAATATGAAGAGATTTGTGAAGAAGCTTGAGAATATTTCAGACAATGAAGCTCAAGACATCCTAGAAGAGAAGAACTATGTTTCTGTTCTTGGAATATGTGCCCAAGGTATTAGCAGGGGAGAGCCTAATGCAGCTGTGACTTCAGGAGATTCTTGCAGTATCAAGGTTGTACAATTTTGTCAAAATTGCTTTTGAGGGTTGACCAGCTCTGGCTGTGCTTGTGATAACAAGTAGAGAAGAGGATAATTATTTTAGAATTTCATTATTATATTTATTTCATAACTCCTGCATTATGAAGAGTCCCTTGAGCCAAATAGTCAAATATTGCATTCCATCTTCCTTGGGTTGAAAATATACCAGTGCTTTTTAAATAGCTACAAGTAACATTTCTTTTCACAGAGTCAATGGAAAATGGCTCAAGTGTAACTGGTGGTGAAGTTTACTCATTCCAGACTCCCAAACGCTCCAGCAAAATGGCAGAGCTGGGTATGTTTTGCTCTTTCTTCTTTCATTCTTGCTCTTGCTATGTTTTTGATTTTGGGGTTTTTTTTCTGAGTACTCTGTTAATGTGACTTGTCACTTCTGTTTATTCAAAAAATATGTTTGCAGTATCTCAATAGCTTTTATTTGGCTCTGAATCAGTCTTCCTCAGAAAAGCACAGGGCTAGGACAAAGCAAAGGCATGGTGGGGATAGGAAATACAGCTAATAAATAAACATAAAAAAGTAGAAGTTTCTTAATTTTGGGGGAAAGTCTGTGTGTAAACACCAAAGGATGGCAGTTTTATTTGTGTAACTTAGAAGGATATTAGAATAACTCGTTATGTAGCAAAGAGTAAAAAAACAAAGAGGCAGTATTAGCTTTGTGCGTCAGAGGATTTCTCTTACTCAGAGCGTCTGAGCATGCTTGCTAGGCTAACTGTGGACTTAGGAGGAGCAAGGAGAAGGTGGCGGTTCTGGAGAGGGTGAGCTGTTCTGGTTCAAATAAGATGCTTGAGCCCTGCTTCCACTACTTTTCTTCTTACTCGAAGAGTCTTTGTGTGCCCAGCACCATCTGAACTTCATTGGTTTTTAGCTGTCACAGCTACTGATATATCCTACAAAGAATGATCCAAGGGAGAGGGTTCATCCTTCTGTGTCACTATACTGAAGGTTTCTGTGCCTCTTAACTTCTCCTCTGGGCTTCTGCTGTATCTTGGGAATGTGTGTTTTTCTTACACCTCCTTCTGCAGCTCCCTCCTGGAGCCATGACTCAGTTTGAAGACTGAGGCAAGTCATACAATGGAAGGCTGGTTTTCTTGAGGGACTGTGAGCAGGATAAGGGACCTTCCGTACTCAAATCAGTAATTCAACTTCAGTTTGTGCCGATAAGTAGTAGAAATAGGTAAATAGGACAAAAGAACCCACTTCTTGTGGAACTGATGTGTTTGCTGTATCTGCTGCTCTGCTATGTCCAGTTAAGCACTTCTAAAAGACTAAGTGAGTATGACCAAACATTGCTCTGATTCAAAGATGTGGTCTCCCCGGGAACAAAGCATGCTGTGCCGTTGCCTCAGCTTTACTTGTAAAGTGAATTAACTGAAAAGTTCAGTCTTTGAAAATCTGTGTTATGGACTACGTTCACCATTAGTGTTACGAAAAAATTGAAGTATCCAGTGCACTTTCTGAAATATCTAGGAAGTTAGTACTTAGAGAGTGTTTCAGGCATATGACTCCATGGCTGACTATCCAGAGCTGGGAGTTTTGTACCCGACATATGAAAATTCTTCCTTTTCCCCCTGTTTCCTACAGCCTCTGAATTAGCCCAGACACCAGGACAGAGTGTTGCACCTGATTACTCCAAGTGCCCTGAGAAGACAGCCAAAACCCCTCAAAGCAGCAGTAAGTCCTGTGATGCTTTGAGGATGTGAAGCTGAGTGAATGGGCATTATGTTTCTATTTGGGTGGTGGAGTGGATACTTGAGTGTCAGCTTCTGTCCTGCTCAAGTATTCTAGTCAGCTTAACATTGTAGACTGAACTGCTTGGTATGCATGGCCTCTGGTTCACCTGGGTATCAGATCTTTTATCCTATCCTGCTTGCTGTAGAGAAAAAAGGAACTTCTCTCCCAACCATTGCTGTGACACTTTATGATTTCCTCTCTGTTCAACAGAAATGCTTGCACTTGAGATAGTGATGAGCTGAGCTGATGTGTTGAGCACCAAATGGGTAGAATTGTGTGAGTGTTCCTGTGTAGATTCACACATTGTAATATAATATTCAAGCACCCAATGCTGTATGGAGAATTACAGGGGGGAGAAGTCAGTGCGGGTCAACACCAGCAAGAGCACGTTAATTTGTGCTCCAAAATGGAGTCTGATGTGCTCAGGGAGAGGACATTAGCTCATTTTTCAGCCTCTCCCTTCCTGCTGATGGCCTTCCAAAGCTGTGACAAGAATTAAAAGCTGCCTTCTATGGTAATAACATTGGCTGTCTTTGTTCTATCCTTGCCCACCTGTGAGGAACCAGAGGCTTCCTTCATAGGGTTAACCACCTAGGGAGGTGATATTTTGGTGCAGTGTACCTTTGAATAGCAAATGCCTGTTTTTCTGGTTGACCGTCTTGTGCCACTGTTGCAATTATGCCCTACTCTGAACGATACTGTTTCTTGCTTTGCAGAACGTTCAAGTTCAAAAAAAGCACAGCAGAGGGTAAGTGATGGCTCTACCTTGCTTGTTCATTTTTTCTTTTGAGTGGGGTTTTTTGTAGTTTTGGTTTGTTTGTTTTTTTTAACTTCTTAAAACTTGAACTGACCAATTACTGCAGTTCTGGAAAGGAAGGAAAGGAAGGACCTTGAAAACCCTCATCCACAATACAGATGTCTCTTGATCCAACTGGGCAGGAGTAACTCAAGTGAGAACAGAACTACCATTAATCAGGAGGATAGAATTTAGAGTCAGTGGGGAAATAGTGTGTTTGACAGCTTAATTAGCATGGGTGGAGACTTATTTACTGGCATCACACAAATGAGGATGTTAGACAGTCCCTTAATATGCAGTTAAACTTACAGCTTTCCAGTTTCTCATCAAACGAAGAAACAGCCTTAATTGTAAGGAGTGCTGTTAGAACAGGAATTCAAGAACTGCTGTGCTGTTCAGTTTCTTATGTTAGCATTGGTTTATAAAAAAATAAATTGTGACAATGGCAGGGATGTAAGTTGATCTCATCTTTTGTGACGCTACAGAGAGATACAGTCCAGAGCTGCCAGTTGCGGTGGTTATAAAGAAAGTGCTGTGAAACAGTTAGCTTTCTATAATGGTACAGCATCACACTAGCAATGGGTGCGCATTTTCCGGTATGAGGTTCCAGGATGAGATGCCTGTAGGAGATGCTGTTTAGGGATGCCATGTTCATTCCTTGATGATTTCACATCCACTTTGGCAGGATTAACAAAAGTGTTTCCTAAGTATTGCATACTTGATCTGGTGTCCGAGTCAGGCGTGTGCTTTACACATAGGTAAGGAAGACGTGCCACTGCAACGTGATGAGCCCAGGCAGCTTGGGTTCCCTTTGCTGTACTACTTCTGGGCTTAGTATTCTAAGTGGTCTTCTGTCATTCTGATAGTTGTTTTCATAGTGGACTTCCAAATTACTTGAGTAAACAGTGTGGTGTGGAAGATGACTGCTTTGGGGAGCTGAAGCATTTCCAGTTTGTCATTTATTTCAGTTTGACTCTTCCTGAGGGGGAAGGATTTCCATCTAGGGACACTAGTTGAAAGAATTAAACCCCTTTTGGAACCTGATCCTGCCCTGCTCTAGCTCTGAATGGCAAAACAAGAACTCTCCATAGTTATTGCCTCTGCTTTCCCAGTTTCTTGTGGATTGAAATAGCTTGGAAATGTAACCTGATTCTACTCTTTGCTTGGCAGAGGGCTGTTTTGAGAAGGGATATGTTTCTTCTTCTAATGCATGTTTTTTCTTTGCTGTTACAGAGTGAAAAGAAGGAATTTGTGTCTACCACACCTTACAGACTCAGAAAGAGGCTAGCAGGTAAAGATCAACCTTTGCAGTTGGTTCCACAGTCAGTGAGACACTGTGTTCAGAGGTGGACTGGTGGTTTCAGAGGTTTGTGTGTTCAGAGGTTTCTCCCAGTGGACTTCTGTATGTAGTAGCAGTCTGACTGGAGCAATCTGATTCATCCTGCTGACAGTGAATGTCCTTAAGAAAGTCTGTGTAGACCTTTTCCCCACAACAGATTGCTGCTTAGGAAAGGAGTGGAAGGGTTAGAAGCACCAGCTTGCTGAACTTGAGTAACATAATCAAAAAAGACAAAACTCTCAGTAATCTAACCAATGCTGACACTTAAGTCTGGCATAATTGTTTGAAAGAAGTCATAAAACTTTTTGATGATGGCGGGGACGTTCATGGTAAAGTATTTCCAGTAACTGGTTGGCTGTATGTGCTCAGAATGAATGCAGAGGAGAGTTTAGTGCATGGTGTTTCATGTTCTGTTTCTTCTGTGTTCAGACCCCAAGACTGAGCCACATACTGTCTGCTCTCTTCAATCAACATTAGTAACAGGTGTTTTACCAAACCTTTTTTGCAGAGTGTGACCCAGAAGATACTCAGCTTGCACAATTGACATTTGGGAAAACTGACATAGAGATGCCCAGAGAAATAGGGAATTGCATTGTCCATTTTTAGTTACTTTTTATTGTAGGATTATGTTTCTTAGTTGGTGTCAAGGAGAAAGCTTTACAAAACAATAATTTGTCAGCCTAGAACTGGGAAAGAAATGGCCCTGTGTATCTGCAGTCCTCTTAAGCATTGATTTTACTTTTCTGTGAAATATATTTAGGAATCATATGCTTGAAGAACATCTAGAGAATGTATGTGAGAAGGTGAGATGGTGCAAAATGTGCTCAGTGTACGAATTCATTGCTAGCTTCTAACCTCAAATTTATCCTCCAGCTCCAGATCCTGATTTAGAAAGTGAGAGTGAATATTCTGCTTCCTGCTCAGAGGATGAGCGTGAGGAAGACCAGAAAGAAGTCAGCACTGTTTTATCAGGTCAAAAGACCCCAGCAAAAACTAAGGCTGCATCTATTCTGCCTCCTCCCAGAAACACCTTAGCAAAAAAAAATAAGGACGACAAGATGGTGAGTGTACAGAAAATATACCCCTGAGCTGGCAAGCGTGAAGGGATGTTTAGTGACAATAAGCTGTCAGTGACCACACCTAACTATAGGGAAGAACAGCTAGACTCATTTCAAATCAAACCAGCTGAGTTGGCTTTTGCTGTACTTCTAAGCAATCCCTGTTGGACAGGCATCATATGAGGCTGTGGGCTAGTTCAGTTTGTATCCTCAGCAGCTCCAGAAGGAGAAGTTCTAAGATGTCCGTGAAGCACGAGGTCTTGTACTAAGAAAGGGTGAAGAAATTGCCTCCTATAACACCTAAAGAAACACACATTACTTTCTTACTTGGTGTTCAGCCTCATTGTCTGGTTTCTTTCCAGCACCGGGGATCCTCACACACGTTTAGAATTATTGCTATGTTCTGCTCTCTCAGAATCTCTTTTCTGTCTTCAGGAAAGAACCATCTGACTAGGTTAGCTTTGGCAGAATGCTACTGTAGAAGCCATTTTGCAAGTGTCTTCTGGCTTTCTATTCATCCTTGCTCATACTGGCCATCTTCAGACGTGTTTGTGGGCGCAAAGAGAGAGGGGTAACTTGATAGCAGGAGGAGTGTGGCTGATTTGCTGTCTCTTTTTAGAGCAACCTGGTGGAGGAATACTTTGAAGCTCACAGTAGTTCCAAAGTGCTCACTTCAGACCGAACACTGCAGAAGTTGCGGAAAAGAAGATTGAACCAGGTACACGTCATAGTGAATCACACAATTCTCAGAGTTTTTTATTGCTCTGATGAAGACTTCCCTCATCAAAATTTTGTGGTGTCACTATTTTCACTTTGTTTCTGCTAATGACGTACTTGGTGGTAATATTGATTTAGGTAGCATTCTATCCTACTGCTATGCTGAGCAGTGACAGTGCCCAGTTGTTTGAACCTGAGATAGCAGGGAAAATGCAGGGAGAAGGTGCTATCAGGTGAGCAGACAGCTGAAAGTCGCAGTTACCAGAAGGAGTTAAAGTTTGCTTTTAGGGAGCAGAAAAGGGAAAAATTATCACCAAAACAGCATTTTTTGTCAATGAAATGCTTAGAGGAATTACAAGCTGTCTTGACTATTTATGTGTAAAGAAAATGGAAAGAGCTCTTTTCATTTGAGCATTACTAGGCCAAGCCACATGCAGGACTGGGACAGCTCGAAATGTTACCTGGTTTGTGAAATGTACTTTGTCCCCTTCCAGTTCCTAGGAGACAGGAACGGTCTAATTGTGGTCACTGAATTACTGTATTTTTTTCTATATGCCACTTCTCAAGACAGTTCAAAGCAAGCAGTTACACCCTAGAGAGACAGATACACAAGGACAGGTGCCAGCGAATTGTGTAAAATACTTGGAGCTCTCATGTCTATGCCTGCTTTTTATACCCATCTGTGTTTTAAAAGATCGCATATACACACATTG